GACTTTTGTTTTAGAACTTATGACAGCGTTGCATGTGCATTGCCATTCCCTTCTTGAGTTCAGTTTATGAAAATGGGTTTGTTGACTTAGTTAGCTGTTAGAAGAGCTCGTCGAGAAATGCATGTGCTCATATCAAAATTGTTATCAAATATTACTATTATAGCAAATGCTTAAATTTATAGCTCGATTTAGTAGAAATGCAACGTTGCGCGTTAAGTATGATAAGTTTGTGCTGAAAATGAATTCAATTTCAGATAAAGTCATCCAAAGAGCGTAGTTATCAGGAGGATTGAGAAGATATGTGAGCATTTTAACAAAAAAGAAAATAGAAGAAGTGTATATTTTTTCGAGTAATAATTTAGTTCCTTGAGTTATAAAATTCATAAGGAATAAAAAATTTTCCCAAAAATAAGCAAACTTTAACTGTTCATATCTTTTAAACGGTTGGGTTTACGAAAGAATCGTACAGACCTTTTTTGAAGAGCATTCAATTTCCTACAAAATCTAAGGAACAAGATATTTTTTCCATTAGTTGGAAGCGATATATAAAGTTTTCTATATGATAATAAGAAAAATTAGAAAATTGTAAGTAGGAGGACCTTCCCGTTACAATTAAGAACTCGTTCGTGGAGAGGCTTCCTTAGAGGTGTCTAGGAACCTATTTTTCAGAGTACCAAACGAAACAAAAAAAAAAAAAAAATTTTTTTTTTGAATCACCCTACTATATAGTACATACACTTTGCACCGCACAACCACATTAAAATGGGTAATTATTTCTGCTTATGTTTTGGCTTGAAGTTATAGCTCGTTGCATTTATTAATTACGCATAAACAATGCGGTTTCGGCAATATGCATGGGACACTAAACTTTAATAATCGCTTATGTGCATACTAATGATCGGTTTAGATGCACGCAACCGGGAAGCTATAAAGCTTAATTACGCACAAATCCATTCATGTATGGCTTCTATGTCCTCAATATACCTATTACATATACATGAGCTAAATTAGACATAGAAGATGCCGCGAATTTTGGGGCAAACGACTTAATAGACTCTAGACTAATCCTAATAAATTAGCTCTGTTCAAATTTAACTCGGACTGGTCCATTTAAACTCCAACAAAACCGCTAAATTTTACTTTTTAATTTTATCATCTTTTATGTTTGTGTGAAGTTTGATCTTCATAAGTCAGTTATTGTGTATTTCCAGCTGTTGGTTTTTTTGTACCGTAAAAAACTGAACAGCGAGTTTGCTTTAAATTTTGTATTTCCAGTGTAATTGTTGTTACGGCATTGCAGAAATCTTTCGATAAGTCTACTTAGAATAGCGCACAATAAAATAATTTGAGTGGTACAAATTATTTCAGTGAAGGTCGTGCAGTCATCAAAAACTTATCTTATGCGAGTCGTCCATAAACCACTGTTAATGACCATAACATCGAAGAAGTGAAAGAAACAGTTGATGATAACTGTTGTGCTGGTACTAGAAAGACAGTAAAAGATCTCAACATCACTTCTCAATATATTTTGGTTAACGATTTGGGTATGAAGCGTGTCAATGCTATGCTCGTATCAAAATACCTATACTTTTTACAAAAATACGTGAAAATATCGTTTTTTTTTTATTAGTCCGAGTCAAATTAGATCAGATGGTTGTTAGATCTATGTAGAAATAGTTATAAAAACAGCAAAAGAGCACAATACTACTTCTTTTTTAGATAAAATATTAACACATCTTTCTTTTGTCAACATTTTTGGGGTAAAGAATCAATGAAGCAACTCGCATAAATCAAAAAAATGTAGACTTCCATTAGGTAACACTAAACTGTTCCATAATAAATTGAAGTAAATATTTTTTTTGTAGTTTTTATACACTTAAATTGCTTTATAAGACACCAGAGATATACTATTTCGCAACCTCGGCATATGTAAGGCATTCCCAGCTTGGACGTATGTTCTCCAAATGGCTTGTGTTTTGGTGGCAGTTAGTCTATTTAACGATTAAGAAGTTGTGACTTAACACCATTAGATAACCTCTTGTGGAGTTATTTGAATTAATTGGTCTTAAGCAATACACCAGACTCTGTTTAAGCTTTATAACTCAATACTGGAAGTGCCATTCATGACATACGGCTTGATTCAGTTGAGAAAGTGCTAAAAAATTCGGTTCATCGAATGCGTTCATGTAAAAGAAGTCGCGGAAGCGACTTGAATGATGTTATATTCAGAACTTAATTGGATCGGATTAATATTGGAATAGCCTATACTTTTAGCGATCATTTGTGTTTGACGAAAAAAGTACTTTAAACATTTTATTCGAGAACTATCACACATTTATTTTTCAGTGATATATCTAAGTCTTATCTATACAATATCTCATTTTGACATATTAAATACCTTTTTGTAGAAGTTGAAATATATCTAACTTTAAATTTCAGCTTTAAATTTTCTTACGAACTATGAAATTTTGTTTAATAACTTTCTGCGAGCAATAATATGTACATTATTCTGCGAATGTTACCCTGTAGAAGCCATTATGGAAGCATAAGCTATGTGCTCGTTCATAAGCTCAGTTAGCGTTGTAAGCAGCCATATTTGTTGCGCTTCTGTTTGGATATGCACTGTGATTAAAGTGAAATATTGCCATTTGCTTGCTGTCATGAGGCATGTAGCTCGCCGGATTCAGTGTTGCAACTAAGCTGAGCTGTCAAGTTATGCGCTTTACTGAAGCGCCACAAATGTTCATTTGGCAGATTACAATTTTGCAACTTTATGGCTTTTCAGCCTTCACTAATAGAAGTTTTTGCATTGTACCGAGCTGACTTTCATTATCGTTATACTTTACAACGACAGTTATACACAGAAACAACGGTATGCGTTTCCGAATTGTATACATGCATGGATACTAGAGTTGTTGCAGTGTTGTTGTTGTCAGCATTGTCTTTTCATATGCCGGATACTGGTTTTGCTAAGCGCTGCCAATAGCGACTTTGATGGAATTAAATTGCCAATTACGAAGCGTGACTGCTTCAGTGGTGGAGGCTGTCAGCTCGTTTAATGCTTGCAAAATGCGAACTTGGCACGTAGAGCTTCCATTGATAGCAATAATTTGATGTTAGTTGGCTTAAATGATGGCTCAAAGGAGCTCAAATGCATCGCACTTAATTAATATTGACACTTTTGCCGTTCAAAGTCCTTGCGGCGCATATGAGCGTGTAATGAGTGGATTAAGCGCAGAACGGTGTGTGTCGAAAGTAACAGAAAGAGAAGAGAATTTTTTACGATATTTTCATGAACATAGCTAATTTATAGATTGGGAATAAAAGATTTATAAGATACAATAGAGATTATTTAAAGATTTACTAGAGATCCAGAGTGTGAAATAATATTCAGTAGAAGCTTCCCGGTCATTGACTGGGGAATAGAAGTCGCTGCTGTCATTTCGTGGTCTCAAGCGACCTTTGGGCTGGCTGCGTCATGACATTACAGGCATACCTCAGTTAGCGAGGCCACACCTCCACCCTAACGTGATTACAATAAGTAATGCCGGTTATGATACTGCTGCCAATCCAGCTCTCAGCGCACTTGTCCATGAAGACTTGAACCAATAAAGTGCTGTTGTGAAATACAAAGAATAGCTATTGCGCTTTCCTGGCCAGGTGAACTGGCAACAAAACAGCTGTAGTTATTAGAAACTAGGTAAGACGGGACCAAAGTCTAAGACGCGATACAAGGCGGAGATCGGGATATGTAGCCAACTCGATGGTGGGTCCAACCTAAATAAGAGGAGATGAAATGGATGGCTTGGGCAGGTGATGGGGTAAAAAGCTGCCGGGAATAATTCGCTACAAGCAATTGGTGCAGTTCCTCGGATCCAGCGTTTGCGAAACGCTTGGAGAAGCATATTGCCGAAAAAAGGCAGCGTTTGACAGAGAGCGATCCTCTTAGATGTTCTCAAAAGCTTTTAAGAATAAAATCATTTTATAGATTGGGAATAGAATATTTGTAGTGCTTATATGGACATAAAATACTTAGGTATTTATTTGAGTCTCACAGTTGTAACAATATTTAAAGTAAATTCCAGTGGACCAAAGCTGGATTTAAGTAAATACTTCAAAGAGAAGTTTGTGGAGGAGAAACTTTCACAAATATTTCCAAATATTTAAAAACTCTTATAGGTATTTTTTTTTTGTTTAATTTTAGAATCACAACGGTCAAATTTTTTGGTCGGTAGGACAATAATGGAAGATCTTTGGTAGATACAAATTTCCGCAATGCTTTTTCGATTTAGGCTTTAGGAGATTGGTGAACAGCTAATATTCCCTTTTATAGATATTGTTGTTGATGTTGTTGTTGTAGCAATATTATACTGGGAGCATACTGCCAAGTTGACAGTTCTGGGCGTAAAACTCACATAGTCATTAGAAAGAACGTTGTACTCTTAAACAGATAAAGAAAATAGTCATATGACTCGGATTGTGATTTTTAATAAAATAGCAGCATCACGTGATATCATAAAGTCAGCGTTTTCAGAATATAGACTTGAAAGCAAAGAGAGCTGCTGGTTATGGTTTTACGTGCAGAAGGTTCCTTCGACTAACAAAATTGACTCCTTACGACTTCGGAAGTTTCGTAGGTGCGCTTTAAAAGTTTTCATACGTTACCAATTTTCAAAAAGACTTATTTATTCTTGAAATTTTGAATTTAAGCCAACTTGCGAAGCAAGTATATTATCGTTATCGTGAAATCCACGAACAAAAAAAAAAAACTTTCAAAGATATCTGCGCCATTAAAATTTAAATTAAATATTTGCCAAATTATTGCTTAGATAATAAGCATTATAAAATATTTTAATAATATCTAAAGCAGTTTGTTTATTCTAAAATATTCAAAATCACCCTGTGGTCAATTTATTAATGGCGATTTTCACTTTCACTTCTCTTTTCATTGTTCAGAATTTCTTTGCGATTTCGCGATCAGTTTAGCTTGGTTCGTTCAACTGTTCGCGTGTTGCGTGCGGAAAGAAGCTCATTACAATTTATCGAAAACAAAATAAAGTGTTTTTAGTCTTAAATATTGCAAATACATAAAAATTACAAATTAAATGCGAAACCAGCATATAAATTTGGCTGCATCAGAATTCCTGGGAAGTAAAATTGTGTAAATTTTCGTAACGAAAAGTGTCTTAACATGGCCCGACCGTGTAGACAAATCTTGCTCCACTTTATGACAACAACTCGTTGCTCCTGCATAACTCTAATACTTTTGCTAGCATTAAGTTGCTTGCAAATTGCAGCTTCCCAGAAGACAAATGTCGGTGAGTTGTATTTTGCTTTGGAAATTGTCAGGCATTTGTAGAAATATTTTTCACATGCAAATTTGGTTACGTAAAATATCTTGAAAAATCGGCGCTGCGCCACTCTTGCTCGGCGTTTCCCCGGTGCCAAGCAGTTATTTGCACGGAAGTGTTCCACTTAAGCAGCGCATCCAAAAACGCCTTGCTCTGCACTGCAGCTCTCGAGGCACTTGGCATTTTGCGTTTGAAAACAAATAAACATATGAAAAAACCAAAACAACAATATCTAAGAATACATGGATAGACTATGGATAGGCGCTAAGGCACCAAAGTAGATGGCATTTGGTGCGACGCAGACGTTGTGATCGTTGTTGTATCGTTGCTGCGTCTTGCAAAAAACCAAAACCAAAACCAAAGTGAAAGAGGCTGATGCATTTTGGCGGATAAAGAAAATGAGGCAAAATAAACAATTCGAACACAACAAAGAGTTTGTCAAATACAAATTGATGGATAATGTTGGGTTGCTCACAAAGTATTTTCGTTATTTTTTTAGTGGAATTTGAATACGAGTTTTTTATTGTGTAAAATATTTAATGAAATTATATAGTATATTCTCTATTTTGATTTAACACTTTTTGCCAAGATTTTTCGCTCATAAAATTTTTGAGGCAAAAAACAAAAAAAAAAAAAACTGGTGTGGGTGGATTTTGATATCGTGATTTGAGATTAAGATTCTCTTATCCAAAACTTGTTCCAGGCTTCTTCTATGTGAATGTAACCTTCTTTAGTCCATCCTTTTTCATTCACATCCACTCACATATTTACACACAATTTCTTACAGGTCTCATCTATGAAAGCGACAACCCCGATATGGAGAAAATATTTCAAATAGCTATTGACAAAGCGAATGAAGAGAGCGGTGGTACGCTCGAACTGCACGGCATCGCTGTGGCCATTGAACCTGGCAATGCCTTCGAAACATCAAAGAAGCTCTGCAAAATGTTGCGGGTAAGCACAGTTACGCTGCAAAAACTCGCATGTTATGTATGTATCTGAATGCTGATTTTCTCTATTAAATATTCCTTGATGTACAGCAAAATCTAGTGGCCGTATTTGGGCCCACCACAGATCTGGCCGCAAAGCACGCGATGAGCATTTGCGATGCCAAAGAACTGCCATTCATCGATACACGCTGGGATTTTGCTGTGCAAATGCCAACTGTTAATTTGTATCCGCACGCTTCACAGCTGGCGGTGGCGCTGAAAGACTTGGTGGTGGCGCTGGAATGGACCGATACCTTTACAATCATCTATGAAACGGGTATGTAGCCAGCAAGGCGATGACATTGAAAGCTGTAACGTGGTTGAATTTCGTAAATATACACCAACAGGTGAATTTCTGCCGACGGTAAACCAATTATTGGAAATGTACGGCACTATGGGACCTACAATTACTGTGCGCCGCTATGAGCTTGACTTGAATGGTGATTACCGCAATGTGCTGCGGCGCATTAAAAATTCTGGTGATTACTCCTTTGTCGTGGTGGGCTCGATGGCTACGTTGCCGGAATTCTTTAAGCAGGTGAGCTATGTGTGTGTTCAAGATGATTTTAGTTTTTTAATAATTTGGCGAATTTTCGGCAGGCGCAACAAGTTGGTCTCATGACTGATGACTATCGTTACATCGTCGGCAATTTGGACTTCCAAACCATGGACTTGGAGCCCTTCCAACATGGTGACACCAACATAACTGGCATACGCTTGGTCTCGCCGGATGAGAAGCTCGTGCAGGATCTTGCAAAAACCTTATACGAAACGGAAGAGCCTTTTCAAAACGGTAAGGAAATCATTTGTCAGGAAATGATTAGAAGTAGCCATGCTTAAACTAAATGTGTTATGCCCATATAAATCTATAAATTGTCTTGTCGGATATGTCAAATGCGTGTAATTTCTTTATGATGGTGCATTCCAAAGAAAATGGTGTGATTCATTTTTTTTTTTTTTGGCGTTCTGATATGTACATGGTCTTACCGCCCGATGACGCCACTATTCCAAAAAAAACATTCTATCACATATTGCCAAAGTTTAAGTTTGGTTTTGGTCGCATATGGAAAAGGGAGTCTTCGCAGATTTGAGCAGCGTAAAATAGTAATAGGTTAGGTATTGGCTCAATCAGAACAACTAAAGAGGGGATGAGACTACTCATCAATACTTTCAATTAATTCAAGCGTCAGTCGTTCTTCCCTTTTAAAGTATGATGCCAATTAAATTGAGTTTCAAAATGTGTAACCTCTGGTTCTTTCAACAGAGTAGAGGTGTTTCTCTTCCTCTGCTTCCATGGCGGGTACTGCTTGGAATTCTCTCAGAGCTGGAGTGTTTTCATTTATTTGGACGACATGACCTTGCCAGGGTAGCTGCTGTCTCAAAGCGCAAAGGACCATACAACTTCCGCCAAACCTTACTCTCGAAAAGTTTTCTGATCGCCCTCCTATAATCAGATATTTTTCAGATCTCTTGACTTTCTTAAGGTATACATACATTTTTCCTGGAATAAGCCCTACTAAAATTCTCAGATACGTATTTATACTACCACAATTGCATAATTCATTCTCCGCGATGTTATCTCACAAATTTGTGAATTTCGTACAGCCGGAAGGAAAATGTGTGATAAATGACCACACAGGTGCATTTACAAATAATCAGTCGCATATCTGTATTTCTTATAAAATAAGTGAACCAAGCGAAGAACTTGTCTAGAGGCCATAGAAAAGTACACTTACTTTATTTATGATTATTTAATTATGTGTAACCGCTGCTGTCACCATTATTAGATGTGCTTTAGCACTTTAGCCTCAATAAGTGATGCACTTAGGAGACATATCAAAATTCCTCTTTCACGGAACACTTGAAATCACACACACTCACACATACATACGCGTTTACATTTACAGCACACACATATCGAATATATTGCAACAAATGTAAGCACTACAAATACATGCAGACAATTCTTACTTTGTTGTGGACTCCCTCAACCATACTTACCCTTTATGTGTCTATATATTAAACTTGTATCTCTATGTCACTTATATTTGCAGTGTCGTGTCCTTTGACCACCAGCATGGCACTGGTGTATGACGGTGTTCAGTTGCTGGCTGAGACATTCAAACATGTTATGTTCCGTGCGGTGCCATTAAATTGTAACGACGCCAGCTCATGGGATAAGGGATACACGCTCGTCAACTACATGAAATCGGTGAGTTAATGGAGTGACAAATACTAACACGCACACACACACAAACATGCCTACATACTATATACATACAACACCACATTTACAGCTAGTCGATAACATGTGAAGTGTGTGTGCTCATCTTAAGCCTGTATTGGCTCAGCAAAGCACTCTGCTGCTTCCACTTCCGTGCTCTGTGATTTCCGCTCGCTTTCTTAGCGACTACTTTGCCACTCTTCACTTGCAGGCTGAGCTTCCTTTCTGGAAGGACGAAATCTGATGTGTTTGGGTAATAGTCGGTCTGCGTCGAAGTGCTGCGATAAATAGTTGTTATATATATATATGTGTGTGTGTGTTTATGTTGGCGAATTAAAATGTACGGATTTAAGTGTCCGACGGATTGCTGGCGGAATAAGGATATACAGATTTCAGTTCTTCTATAAAGATTTTGTAGTCATAACTCAAATTATTGTGAAAGTATAATTAAGCTTACGATGATTAGTAAAGTAAATTCCAGTTGTCTTGAGATCGCTCTAACCATGTTAAAATCTTCAATACCAATATACAATCTAATGCCTGAATTTGTAAGATAACTCATGGCAGGACAATTAGCTTAGAGCCCGGTGGATTTTGGATGGTCCTATACGTATTATATGATCCAAGGGCTTTTGGGGATAATGTATTCGATAATTTTCGAAGTAGTACTTCTCGCCTAAGTCTAGTTGATTATAAAAATTTTGTTGCGTTTATGAAATACCAAAAGCAGTCTTCATTGAAAGTATATGGGTACACCCTTTCTTTGCATTTTATCGTGTAGTTGAGGGTTTACCAAGAACAGGTTGTTGTTAAAATGAACCACTCAAATTTGGTCAAAATGCATTCTGATTTTTTTGCTATGCAGCTAATTTTATGGCATTTAGGATTTGAATAAAAAGTCGCCGTTCACTACTCTGTTTGCATATCTACATCCGATGATCTGGGCTGCAACTTCGGCCATACTGCGTTGAATGTTGTCTTTGAGATTCTTAAAGATTTCTGGTGCACTGGCGTAAGCTTTTCCCTCAGAAAAAATGATCCAGTCGCATTATCTTTGTGGCCATTTGACAGGTCCATTTCTCGAAATTAACAAGTCGACAAAAGTTGGACGCAATGTGACAATGTTTAGACATAAGACATGAGACGGTTCACCGTCTTCTTGAAAATAGAGATCGTCCGCGTCGATTTCATCTAATTCCAGGGAAAAAGGTCGGTCAACATCGTGTCAAATTCACCCCATCTATGTATGTTGTGGTTGTTGTTTTAACGGTTATCTATGCGCCTCAGAAAAGTTTTTACCAAGGTCATCCGACGGTAGGCCCAGGAAACGTGCTCTCTCGACGTAGTCGGACCATAATGGGAAGCATGTCAGAGGTGTAGAGTTAGTTGGGCATTCAAAGAGGTGGTTAGAGACATGCGGAAATTTGTTGCATGCTGGACATATGTTTGATATGTTGGGGTCGATTTTGGATAAGTTAGCGTTTAACCTGTTACAGTATCCAGAACGATGCTGCGCAAGGATCAGCCTCAATTTTCGCGGCAATTCAAGCTCCTATTGCGCAATGGGTGTTGGTTTGGCTTTAAGTACGCCATTCACTGAGAGGGCGTCGCTGAAGGTATTTATGGAAGGATCTCCTTATGCTCCTAGGAGGCGGCTCCCGTTCAAGCAGATGACTGCAAGGATGACTTCTATGAAAACATTCCAGCAGAAACTTCTTAGAGTGGAGTTCATTATGCTCCTAAACTAGAAGAATCATGCGGATTTCACTGTGCAGATGTTCGATAGGAGACATTAAGAGACATCCCGTAATAGTCCTGTCCCTGTACATGTCTATAGCTTCCTCGGCTGCGTTTCATTGCATCCAGGCGACCATATATGTGCGGCGTAGTTAAAGACCGGCCGGCCGATTGCCTTCTATGCAGCCAACAACGTGAGGAGTGAAGAAGCACAGGCTGTTGATTGTCACACCTAAAATCTTTGGGTTATTGGCAGTCACGTCACCCCTATTTGTAGGCGCTGTTTGTATTAACTACAATAATTAAATTTTTTTGAAAATGAGAACACATTTATTGGGAATTCGCCATAAAGTTTGGTAATCTTCAGATCAATACAATATATTATTAAATAATCTAGTTTTCCGAATAACTTTCATCTAAATACCACAGTAAATACATCGCCAGCAGTTAGTAACATAATTTGTTATACGTGTGCTGGAATTAAAGACTTCACTTTCTAATATACGAACATATATACATATCAAAATGTCGAAATATCCTTCCATTACCGAATCATAACAAGTTTTTTTGCGGTTCTCCACTATCACAAGCTATTTTCATTTCCTCAGCTACAATTACATGTACTTGTTATTTTAAGTATGTATGTATGTATATTTTTATATACACTTGTAAGTGCTTTAACGCTCACATTTTTAATACACTTTCAGCTGAGCTTAACTGGACTCACGGGTGAAGTAAAATTCGACTACGAAGGTTTGCGCACCGACTTCGCACTGGACGTTATTGAGCTGACCATGTCGGGTATGCAGAAAATAGGCGAATGGAAGACGGAGGACGGGTTCTTCGCTAATCGACCGCCGCCAAAGATAGTGGAGGTAGATCAGCGTTCGCTGGTGAATAAGAGCTTCGTGGTTATCACAGCCATAGTAAGTGTTGCTTCACTTAGTACAAGCTTAGCAGACACACCCTGCTCCACCATAAACGAACACGTGTGTGTCAGCTTAACTGTTGAACACGATGATTACTTTTCGGTTGGTAGCGTAAGCTGCCTGGCAACTGGTATAGTTAAATTTGAAGATTTTCACATTTTGCATTTCAAATTATTTTCTTTTACCATTTACCTTTTTCTTATGTATATAATGGTATATATTTATTCCCATTAAATTTGTTACTTTCATTTCCCTGCACTCAGAGCGAACCGTACGGCATGCTGAAGGAGACGCCTGCTAAATTGGAGGGCAATGATCAATTCGAAGGCTTTGGCATTGAGTTAATCGAGGAGCTGGGCAAGAAATTGGGTTTCACCTATACTTTCCGTCTGCAAGTGGACAACAAATACGGCTCGTTCAATCCGAAAACAGGCAAATATGATGGCATGATGCTGGAAATAATCGAAGGAGTGAGTAGCCGTTGACACACGCTGAGTCAGTCGTCTGTCTGACATATTGCATGCGATTTTCTTTCATATGTGTTTTTTTTTTTTTTTGTATTTTTTCATCTTCTCTGTCAATCGGCTCTGACGAGTTGAGCGCATTTATTTAAGTAAACAATATCCGCACCGTTATATGGGTGCACATATTTATTTGATCATACAACTGTATATAAAATTCACCAACAAATTGATGCGATTTATATGATTTATTGCGTGTGTATTGGTTTGAAAGCCGGCAGCTTGCAGGCATAAATAACAAAAATTTATATCAATAAGTCTTCGCCTTAACTTCGTGAGCATAAAGCATATTTCTACCGTGATTTCAAGGGACCCATTTGTGTGTGGTTGATATTGAAAATATTTTAATGAGCAGATAAAGTTATCAATTCCTATTTGGGAAATCAAATGACCGCCATTAACATAAATGGCTTTCGTTCAGTCAAAATCATATACAACAGTATATATTAATCTTGCCACATTTCCCGGCGCTTACCGAGTAAGTCATTCAAATGGTGCGGCTTTTGTCAAGCTGAGTGAGTAAATACATATGTATGTATGTTCCTTATATACACATATATAAATACACAGTTGCATTGGTATTAGAATATAGGAATAATACCCAGTAGGAAAATCTGCAGGTTCTGCAGCCACAGTTCCTATGAACTTACGAATGAGGTTAAGCGCGTCTAAAGTCCTTAAAAGCGTCCTGAAGCGCAATTTGGGAAGTAAAGAAAATGAAAATTAAATTTTTTTGAAATTTCTTAAAATTATGACGAAGCTGGGAATTCAAGTTATCCGAAACCAAAAGGGAAACATAATCTTAGTCCATAAATTTCCAGAAAACGCGTAAAAAGTTCAACTTGCTGAGCTGGAGGACATGAATCCTTTGTTATTGCAGGGGATGGAAGATCGAAAAAGTTTTTCATTCAAAAGCGAACACTTTATAATTTTTATTTATTTTTATAAACATATTCGAAATAAGTTATCTCGCCCTGCTCAAATGACCTTTACTTGAAAGAAAAGTCAAAGCATTCAGTCGATTATTATATTATTTTTCGAAAACATCTCATATTTTCTCTCTCTTTATCTCACAATAAACATTTAAACTACCGTTTATCATATTAAAGAGTTTAATTTCTTACAGAGCATATTTCTAGTACGTTTACTGTTATAAATATATAGTATGTGCCTGGCCGAAAATGTTGCTTAGTTGGTCAGCAAATCTTCTACAATATTTTATCAACATAATACTTCGTCTCCGCATTTCACTACGCAACTCTGCGTAATTAATTCAACCACAATTGCGGTTGGCATTTATTTTCAATGTATTACCGAGATATTTAGTAAATGATGAATAGCTTATCCCAATAAATAACCGAATTTGTGTAGATACAGACAGCATTCAGTGTTGGTGAGAGGTAACCAAGTAAGCCACAAATTCTGGCGAGGTAGTCTGTTTGTACGTTTTATAAGAGTTCCTGTTATGGTATATTTTCAGCGTGAAGAGTTTTTTATCAGAGTAGCTTCACATTCTTAGCCACTTGAACATATTTGATTATTAGCAGTGAGTGGTGTAAGTGATTCAACTGCCAGTATTTTGCACAATCAAAGGAGGAATTTCGTCTGAATTTCATTTAATATGAACAAGGTCAGAGAATTCCATTTCTTTTTATTTTCGCATGACTTTTATACAGTTATAGAATGCACAATATAATAATTTAGTAAACTAAAAGATTAAACTAGTAAACTAAAAATTTACTAAATCCAAGTTTCTCCCAAAAATAATGTGTGCTTTGAAGACCGATTATAAGATTTATAGGTAGGAGAGAAAATCGTACCACGGATGATATTTTTCTAATTCCAGAGTCTATATACTTTTTTAATTCTATTTGGTACTTGTATTCTTGATTAAATTTTTTTTAACTTAAACTTTGCGGAGCTAGAAATTCATTTCGTGTATCACTGGCTTAATGTGAATGAAGAAGTCTAATCATTCAAAGTCGCCGACATATTGGAATTCATAATAGAAATTGTTGTCTGGGAATATCATATACCTACAATAATCGACCCACATAAGCTTTGGAAGTGACGCAAATTACTCACATTACTTATGTGCCTACTTACATAGTTATATATACATATGTATACCTACCTGGTTTACCAATGCCCAATCCCTTCCAAATAAATTGTAAATCCTAAATAATTAAATAAACCAAATGTATTATATATGTGTATGTATTATAAGACATTTCACATTTATTTATTTATTTCCATATTAGCGAGCTGACATGGGCATCACGGACTTAACCATGACATCCATACGTGAGGAAGGCGTAGATTTCACTATACCGTTTATGAACTTAGGTGATTTATGAAAGGCTTAATTCTACGGTCGTTCAGTCATAAACCATTAAGTCGTGCACATTAATTATCATCAACACACATAATTTGTGACAAAAAAGTATCCAGAAATTGTAATTTTCTCCAAGTAAATGTAACTAAAATGCGCGGGTAAACGATAATTCAAAAAGATGTATCTTGCTAAGTTGATAGGACTGTCCATAATTACTGTGCCAACTATGGTCACGATCTGTCAACTAACTTGTTTACAGCAGCTGCTTAAGTCGGTAATCCTCAGTAGTGCGTTGCAATTTCCCACGAGTGGTACAAAGCCTTCAAAGACGGTCGAGAGATAGGGTCTGTGTTTCATTCTGGACGATCTTCGACCTCTTCAACTGATGAAAATATTAAAAACGTGAAGGATATGGTGCTTGAAAATCAAGGCAAGTGTTAGAGAGCTAGCAAGAGAGCTCGACATCTTTAGCGAGCCGTTTGAATGATTCTGTCCTATTTTTTGAGTATGAAATGCGTTCTCACTCGACTCGTCCCGTCCTGAATTTTTTTTCAAAAGAATGCCGTGAGCCTAAATCAATCAATCATCGTATTCACCAGATTTGACTCCGTGTAATTTTTTCTTGTTTCCCAAATTGAAATTGCCGGTCCATGAAACCCGTTCACAGTCGATCGAAGCGATGAAACAAAATTCGCTTAAGGAGCTGATAGCGCAAAAAAAAAACTGTTTATGAAAAGTGTTTCGAAAACTAGAAAAATCGTGGGAATAAGTGCATTACATCTGCTGGGTATTACGTTGACGGCGACAAAAGAAATATTGGTGAATAATTATTTGCTTGGCATTTTATTTACAACTAATTAGTTAGTAGATTTATGGTAAATTTAAACACATTTTCGACTGGTTGAAAACGTTGATCCAGCTTACTTTTAAAAAAACTCACATTATATATCTTCCAAACGGACACAAATTGCGTCCTTGAACTAAACAATTCATTTCTCTCCTCATTTGTGAGTAACACTTATTTTCTTAACCAACAGGTATCGCCATTTTATTTCGTAAGCCGATGAAGGAGCCACCCAAACTCTTCTCATTCATGTCACCATTCTCGGGCACTGTTTGGATGTGGCTGGGCATTGCCTACATGAGTGTCTCACTCACGCTCTTCATTTTGGGACGCATCTCACCGACCGAATGGGATAACCCGTATCCTTGCATTGAAGAGCCCACAGAATTGGAGAACCAATTTAGTTTCCCTAATTGCTTGTGGTTCTCCATCGGTGCACTGTTGCAACAGGGCTCTGAATTAGCGCCAAAGTGAGTACACGCCTAACGGATACTTGTATGTTCGACTTAGTATGTAAGTAAGCATGTCGATAAGTGAGCGTTGAGCACACTTACAGGTATGCTCTATATACAAGTAGATTTATACAGATAGTACGTTGAGCCACCATAAGCACACAACCACATTTGCATATTTGCACATCGCCGCTTTTCGCTTTCACCAAAGCGCCGGTGTACTTTTGCCGTCAAAGAAATTAATTTTGTTTCCAGAGCATACTCAACGCGCACTGTGGCCTCAATTTGGTGGTTTTTCACGTTGATTTTGGTCTCTTCGTACACCGCAAATTTGGCTGCTTTCCTGACGATAGAATCGCTTAGCAGCCCCATAGAGAATGCAGAGGACTTGGCCAACAACAAGGGTGGCGTTAAATATGGCGCCAAAGTGGGTGGCAGCACATTCACGTTCTTTCAGGTGAACATCCTATAGTATTTGTGTGTGTGCATCTAACGTTAATGCGTGTTGCACATATTTACTGTTATAGGATGCTAAGTATCCAACGTATCAGAAAATGTATGAATTTATGCGCGACCACCCGGAGTATATGACCTCAACCAATGCGGAAGGCGTGGATCGTGTGGAAAATGAGAATTACGCATTTCTAATGGAGTCAACCACCATTGAATATATCACCGAGCGTCGCTGCAGTTTGACACAAGTCGGTTCACTGCTCGATGAGAAGGGTTATGGCATTGCAATGCGAAAGAGTAAGTAAAGAAATGGAACATTAAAAACAAAAACAAGAAAAAACTTTAACTTCGGCTGCACCGAAGCTACTATACTCTTCACAGGTGCATTTTTTAGTAACTATGTGTTCAGTTTACATGGAAGTTATATGCTGTAGTAGTCCGATCTGAACAATTTTTTCGGAGATTGTATTGTTGCCTTAGAAAATAATATATACCAAATTTCGTGAATATATCTTGTCAAATGCATACCTTTTCCAACTAGCACTAGATTCCAATCGTTCAGTTTGTATGACAGCTATGTGCTATAGTTAACAATTTCTTCGGAGATTACATTGTTGCCCTAGAAAATAACCTGTGTCAACTTTGGTAAAGATACATTGTCAAATGAGACGCTTTCCATACAAGAACTTGATTCCGATCGTTCAGTTTGTATGGCAGCTATATGCTATAGTAAGCCGATCTGAACAATTTCTTCGGAGATTGCATTGTTGCCTTAGAAAATGATATATACCAAATTTCGTGAATATATCTTGTCTTTGTATGACAGCTATGTATGTGCTATAGTTAACAATTTTTTCGGAGATTGTATTGTTGCCTTAGAAAATAACCTGTGCCAACTTTGGTAAAGATACATTGTCAAATGAGAAGCTTTCCATACAAGAACTTGATTCCGATCGTTCAGTTTGTATGGCAGCTATATGTTATAGGGGTSCGATATCGGCAGTTCCGACAAATGAGCAGCTTCTTGAAGAGAAAATGGCATATGCAAAATTTCAAAACGATTTCTTAAAAACTGAGGGATTAGTTCGTATATACACAGACGGACAGACAGACAGACAGACAGACAGACGAACATGGCTAAATCGACTCAGCTCAACATACTTTTCATTTAGATATATACTTTATAGGGTCTCGACGCTTCCTTCTGGGTGTAAAAAACTTCGTGATAAACTTAATATACCCTGTTCAGGGTATAATAATACCATTATCTGGGAACTAAAGAAAATATAATTCGAGTTTGTTTCATCAAAATAATGTCAGCTTACTAAAACAGCCTTTTTCGCTTCGCCAAGCGTTTGAGAGTAGTGAATCGAACAGAGCATTTCAGCTTTGTATTTGGATTGATGGCTCCTAAGATAGGGTTTCGAGTCATCTTTGGGATAAAGAGGGGGCTTAATGTAGATGATTGTGTTAGTGATGAAGTTCTGATTTGGGGTTCAGTAAATAACGATAGAGTGGCTGAATTTGGTGGAGGAATACTTCTCTCCGCTGCAGAAGACACTTTTGAAGTAATTGAATTATTCATATTAATTTTGTCTAAAATCTTTAAATCAATATTTGGCAGCATTGAAGTGCACGAATTTGAGTTGTACCCTCAAAAAGTTTGTATCGTACTTCAAATCTGTAAATTGTTTGAAAACTGAGCAATTCCCAAAGATACTGAATTGAAGAGTTGCTTTCAAGGTCTGAAAATAGAATCCAGGCAGTGCTCATATGACTTTGGTATTTTCTTCGGATAGTAGTAGTTTAGATCTAACATCGTGTTTCAATTCAGTTATAAGCGAAAACAAATCCTACATTCAAGTCTTTAAGAATTGTATCTCAAAGACAAGTTAAGTAGTTCTCGAGAAATCTTGCTAACCGCCTTCAAAAACACAGTTTCGAGGAGACGCGTTTAAAGACGGCACACTTAGGCTGGCTAGCCCCGAGCGCACAAGTTCTCAACGCTGTATCTCCGAAACTATTACTAGGATCAAGTTGAAAATTTAGGACAATATTCTAGAGCCGTTGTAGAATTTAATAACACAATAAGAAAATTAGATGTATTGAAACGCGTAAACCCCTTAAGCCGAATTTATATCCATAGCTGCCTAGGGACTATCCGAATCAAAGAATTGTTCTTGGAACTATCCGAAATTTATGCGTTTAAAAATATGTTGATCACGGAAATAATATTGAGTGGTAGAAAATAAAGCTCTTTGGGATGATAACTGATAATATCAGTGTAAGACCCTCCTCTTCGGATTAGAAAACATTGAGAAATACTTTTTAAGATAAGAAATTAAGAGCTAACATACAGAAGAAAACAAACTCAGATTCACTTATTTTTTTAAATTAAACTAACCAAAAAAAAAGTTAAAACACTATAACAAAAACTTGATCCTCTAAAAAATCTCTAAAAATATTGCAGATTGGCCCTACCGTGATACGCTCAGTCAGGCTGTGCTGGAACTGCAGGAGCAAGGCGTCCTTACCAAAATGAAAACGAAATGGTGGAAAGAGAAACGTGGTGGCGGTGCATGTTCGGTAAGTGTTCAGTTACCAAACTAATAAAGTGCCAGCTAAAATAAACTACGGAATAACCAAATATTGTGGCAAGCAAAATAAAGAGGCAATGCTAAAATGCTATTATTTCCGAAGGATACCAGCAGTGAGGGTGGCGCAGTGGCCTTAGAGCTAAGCAACTTAGGCGGCGTTTACTTGGTGTTGATTGTAGGCTCTTTCTTTGGTGTGTTGGTGGCATTCCTTGAAATGGTATTGGGTGTGAAGGAACGCTCCGATGAGAATAAGGTAGACAGACCGAAGAAAGCAGAAAATCGATTTTGAGAATTTATTATAAATATGCACCAATGCTTGCAAGCCCTCTAAACAGCACTTACATACACTACATAGATGGTTGCACACAAAGCAAGCATTTTCTCAGAGTTATTTGCATAGTGTTGTTTTAAGCAGCGTTCGAAGCATCCACACTGGCGTAGTAGACGTAGTTGTAGTAAATTTGTTGGTGTATACCAGGCACAGCTTGTAGTGCGTTTTACTCGAAGCACTTGAAATAAACTCTGTTTGATAGCATTTGTAGTTCTTTCTTTATTATTTTACTATATTTTGTTTATTTTTTATTTCATTCCACTTTGCATACTCTCATATTTCAATTTAAGTTTACTTTCGTTTTTCCACCATTTATTTACTGCTTTCTCCAACGCATTCTTGCGAAATTCGTTGAAAACAAATACGAACCATCAAACGATTTCCACTTCAATACAATTGATGTATCGAAAATGTAATATAAATCCACAACATCAACAACGTTACCAAAAACGACACGCTTCCATTTTGCCTTTGCTCTGCTATGGACACTCGATACGCACTCTCCGCTTGCGTTTACCAAACACCAATCTGCATACATACAAATGTACACACCGCAACAACCTTGTCTTGCCCACCTACCATCGTCGACATGCGATCGTCATCATGCATCCGTCCATGCAAACGCCATCACTCAACCATGCAACTAAATAATCAACCAACCAACCTGAACAACAACCCAACCAATCGAACACGCGCCCACTTGGCGTTTTGCGTGCGTTTGCAGCAAGAGGGCGAGAACGACGGCGCCGAGGAGTTGGGTATCGCCAATTTGGGTGGCGTGTTTTTTGTTTTATGTGTTGGCAGTGTGTTCGCCAGCGTCTGGGGCCTGTTGGAGTGGCTACGTTATGTTTATGGGACAGCGCGTCGCAACAAGGTACACCTGTGGCAACACCTATATATGAGTATCGTAAGGTTGCTTGAAAAGACTTCGATTTGTGCTTCTTACTAATTCTTCGGATTAGCGCAGGCTGGTTGTACTTTTTATACTCTTTGCTTAGTGATATAAACAAGGCTAATTAAGTTGAATGGAGTTTTATACTTTAGCAACATGTTGCGCAAGAGCATAAAAGTTTCGTTTCCTTAACGGTTCTTTGTGAGACTTAAATTAAACCTCATATCTAGACTTATATACAAAAGTATATAATAAAGTATTTATAATTGATTTTCGAATTTCTGTTCATACACTTTTGTGAAACGGCAGCCAGCTGAAATGGGTAAATGACAAGACATTTTTTTTAAATAGACAGAATCTGGACAGGATTAGCACACTCGAACTCTGAATATATCTAAAATAAACTAACTCGGTAATGGTCTAGTCGGACTTTGCAGATTTTGTGGTTTAAGATTCCTTCAGTCAGACTGTATGTAAGGTACTAAAGTACCAAAAATGGATGAAATCGGTCCCTAGTATCCATATATCCAACAATATTTTATGTTTTCTTTTGACTGATTTCATGCAGTATTTTGCTCTAGACTAATCTCTCCATATTACAGCCAGCACCAAATTAGCTTTTAGTATTCAATCGGTGCCAATATACTCGTCGGAATAATTTTTTAAGATTCACTGGATTTAAGGGGAACGCCTACTATGATGGCCTAAAACCAAGGCGATTTCCGATTAGATCAAAAAACTTGTAGATCCGAAACAATCAGAAAAAATTGGTAGCGATGGGATCATTTGAGAAAAACGCATTTAAAGATAAACTGATGGTTGAACTAAAGGGTAACCCATTTCGAGGTTCCCTGACTTTCTAAAGAAAACCACAGAAACTTCAACTTTAATGGCGAATGTTTATTATCATTTGAAAGAACATTCATTAGCACTTATTTTTTAAAGATGATCTCTTTCAAATGTTGGCCGCGGCAACGTCTCAAATGGCCCATCTGTTAACTCCAATTTTCGATGACTCGTTCGAGCATTTCGACTGGCTTGCGTGATGTTTTGCTCTCAGGTTATTTTCCCTTGATGGAATGGCAGCTCTTGAATCCTAAGTTTGCTTGTTCTCATAACCAATGATCCAGAAATGGGCCTCATCGCTGAGCAAAATCGGATCTTCTTGGAACTTTTCAAGAGCCCATAGCGTACTGGACGAGATCTATTCGATCGAATATTATCCAAAAATGTGATGTTGTTGCGAATAGTACGCTCAGTAGGTCTATTATTTAAACCATAAGTTGAACGAAGCGCGCGAAACACAGCGAGATTTATCTCACACGAAATCTATCACAAAAAAAGGCTATTGAAAAGCCTACTTTGAGCACGCGTTAAGTGGATACATTATGAGGGCTGTATATCGAACACTAGTTGAGAAATCGATTTGAAAGGAATAACGGAAAATCGATTTGTTTTATTCGTTCACTAGGTATTTCTGCCCCTTAGTAGCGGCAGAAGAGTAAGACTTAGAGCTTTTATAGAATTGCCTTTGGACTTATTATAAAGTAGTGATCAGAATTTTGCCAAAACTTTTCAAGCAACTACCATGCATGCCTTTATGTGTGCTAACTGGGTGAAGTATGTAAATTAATAATATTTCTGGCTTCTTTGTCGTCGATTGTGTTAAATAATTATATAAATATTATACTTTGAAATGCAGGTTTACTTAACAGTTATGTCCACACTATCTGTGTATTTGTAAGTAAATAAATAAGTATAGCATGTCACCACATATTTACATGCTTATCAGCCAAAAGTGCCTGCTTTCACTACCACTCTACCACACTCACCCACGCACTCACTCAGTCTCGCTTTAAGCACACACCCACTCCTCCGCTTCGCTTGCACCCACCGAATATGTGTATATGTGTATATACATTTGTGATTATATATTGAATGATGTATTAGACATAATCTAATGATTTCTTCCATTTATTTCCTTCCGCCGGCCTTACTACGCGCAGGTGTCCTTCAAGACCGAACTCATAGAGGAGTTCCGCTTCGTTATGCAATGCTCCGGTAACACAAGACCTGTAAAATATCCAAAGAATTCGAGTCGCAGCCGCAGCCGCAGTTCTCGTTCCCGTTCACATTCTCGTTCCAGTTCGAAGAGTTCTATATTGTCCGTAGATTCTTTGCCGATGGATGAGAGTAAATTACATCACATTAGCGAGCACACCAAGCACGTCAAGTAAGTGCACGGTACACGGAAGGAGACTAAAGTGAAAGTTTTAGCGTCGTGTCTTTAAATGACTTGTTGGATTTTTATTCTTATTCGTATTTTACTGTTAAGTATGCTGTTTATTGTATTCGTTGCGCGGCATTTACTTTAAGCTGCTGTGCCATAATATCACATTCAAGAAGGGAGTCTGTTGCCGTTATTAATTTGTATGTTTTTTTGGAGAATAAATTAAAGCGATGGTTGAGCAAAAACTCAGTTAAAAATTCAAATCCGGTTTGAGTTTTAAATTGTTTGTATATATACTAAGTCATCATCTTACCTCAATTGAAAGTTCTTTACTAACTCTTAGCTACTTGATAAATGATTTCCACTTTTTATAAAACGCAACCTGAAGTGATTAAAGATGCGATTTCATCCAGAAAAAACAACGGTTTGGTGTGGTTTGTGGTTAGAACTAGAACTGATTTTTTTATGCCTGAATTTGAAGCTCGTGATCTCGCCGAGATATGGTTTCAACTAGGCGGCGCTTTTTCCCACACATCAATCAATGGATTTATTGAGAGAACACTTCGGTGGGCAGAGAATTTCGCGTTTTGGCCTGGACAATTGGCCACCAAGATTATGTGATATAACGCCGCTAAACTTTTTCATGTGGGATATAAAAAATCTAAATTCTATGTGGATAGAATATCCCACTTCGATTCAAGTCTTGGAGAAAAACCTCACGGGTATTATTCGCCTGTTACCAGTCGAAATGCTCGAACGAGTCATCGAAAATTCGACTCAAAGGATAGACCATATGAGACGTAGCTGCGTCCAACATTTAAATGAGATAATCTTCAAAAAATATATTAATTGCGAAAGAATGTTCCTTTGAATGAAAATTAACATTCCCCACAAAATTGGAAGTTTCTGTGTTTTCTCTAAAACGGTGGGGAACGTCGAAATGGATCAACTTCAACATAATTACGACATTATTCAAATTTGCAAAAGATTAAATTGCACTCTGTATTGTGGCGAATTAACAAATTTCTTTCCATAGATGTCGCACAATGCTTAGCAAAGTCAGTGAATATATTGCATTTCGTTTATTTTGCGTTAAAGCTTTCCATTTAGCTTTTGAAACTTATTAAGCAAAAATCTTTCAAAAGCCATAGAAGCACAACATTGACTAAGAAATAAAAGCTTATTTTACAAAAAGCTCCACAATATTAAATATCTCTCAATAACAGAGGTAAACATATATACGTATAATTATGTATTGTGAAACTCTTTGGGCATATGCACGTATATGTATAGTATATTGTAGAGAACTATGTAAGTGTCTTGAATTAACCATCTATTACTGAACTCATTCTAAATCATTTGAGAGGTTATATACACTTGTGAATTTCTCAAACTGGATTTTTTTTGCTGAAACCGTGTGACGTCTTTTAACATAATATATATTAAGCGGACATCTTAATTTAACCGCGCACACTGAACAATAATAAACGGTCCAACATTTTTTTATGTTTTTTATGTTATGTTAAGGACAATCTATGAAGAGGACAATTCTATTAACCGGACAGGAAGGATAGTTCGGCCAGTGTCCGTTAAAGGATATTTCACTGTTGAATGTAATAATACATATATTAGAAAATGTGTTGTTGCAAAGGGTACACTAAAGCACAGCGAAGCTGGATATATGAAGAGGTGCAAACAACAAAGGCACTCTGCTCACATACCGACGACTGATAAGTGGATGGTGAAAAGTTGCTGGAGAACGTACTGAAATTCTTCACGGATGTAAGGAGCCCTCCGTCAATCCCAGCTTTAAGCTTCCAGACCACTGTAGTGTTTTCTATAAAACCCGTGGACATTGCCTGGAAGTGCGCCCTGCCAGCGAAGGGTACACTAAAGCACAGGGAAGCTGGATATATGAAGATATCCAAACAACAAAGGCACTCTGCTCACATACCATACATATGTGGATGGTGAAGGTTAGGGGGGTACTCTCATGTGAACGCATACATTTTACCACTTTTTAGGAATTTTTTTATGCGACAACAAAATTCAATCATTTTAATTTTTTAACATCTTTTTTTATTTGTATTTTGAAATGTACAAAAAATTTTTTTTTCGGCTTTTACATTTTTAATAAATATTTTTTTAAATCAAGTAGTCCAAAGTAATTCACCGGTCATGGTGATAGCGGTTGTTCATGTTGTCTGAAATAAAAAAATCGAATGGGTTATTATTCAGCAGTTCTGCGGCTGTCATCCCTACCAAATATAATTAATTTCATTAAAAAAAGAACATGTCGAACTTCAAAAAAAAAGTGAAAGTTGTTTTTTTTTTCGTTAAATATTGTTTAAATAAAATATGAAAATATTTTCGAAAATAAACCATTCTGGTATGTAAATTTTAAAGCAATCGGTTGAATACTTTTTTTTTAGGACCATGACAGTCTCAGAAAATGATGATTCGAGAAAAATGCGTTTAGAAACGTAGCAGCAGCAGACTTGTCATGACGCTTGGTCGCTTACGACACGTCGGCGCCTATGAGCTGTAACTTATCAAATACTACGAATTTCGGTCTGAAATTTTCACAGCATGTTTTACTATCAAAATATAAAAAAAGGAAAACGATTTTTCAAAGTGATTACATGAGAATACCCCTTAGGGAACACAAGCATACGGATGTTATATACACTGACTTTAGCAACGTTTTCGATAAAGCAAATCTTAAGACTCTTGTAATTTTCTGGGCGTTCAACTAAGATTTCTTCAATATATTCAGTATAATATTGTAAAAACACATTATTTTAGATTTAACACAATTTTAAGTCACCAGAGAGCTATTATCGAGCTCCTTCCGAAGATTGGCTACTGGTCCAAGAACATCCAAAACTGTTCGAAATTAATGGCCGATTATTAGTATGAAGCGCAATAAATTCTGGAAATACCACTACAGTCGGCTTTGGTTATTCAACTTGTAAATAAATTAAATGCGTCTTCAACGTTTTCATTAATTTTTATTAGTTATCATCCAAATATGCACATTCAGTTAGACACTTAGAAATGGAAAAGGTATTTATTTCACGCTCACAAAGTTTTGCTGCAAATATCAGTTACAGTAAGATTTCATTTTCATATTTATTCGCTAGTTTTGTCATATTTTTTTTGATTAGCTTCTCAATACATCCATATATATATATTTTTATAGTTATTTGTTAATATATTTCTGTGTTAATTTGTGTTTTTGTTTTTACTTTGTAAACTTTAATCCATTTTTTTTTTTTKTTTTTCTCAAAGAAAAAAATATTTGTATATTCAAGTTTTTGTTCGCTAAGTTGCTTGTCCTGTAGAAAGAACTATTGTATTGTGTGTAGAGCCTTTAAGTTCCGTTTGGTGGGTTTAGTTTTTGAATAGAGTATGTGTAATATTAGTATTCGAGTGTTGCCATTTTCTTTTAGAAAGTGTTACATTAAGTCAGTAGAGAAACATAGCTACATATGTATGTATATAGTTGGGTATGTTAGTGGATTTTTCCAAAAGTCCCTATTTTGAGTTGTCATAGTTCTAGATATATACTTTTATCATGTGTATATGTATATAGATATATTTATGTTCATATATATGTATATATGTTTATTTAATAATAATATAATTTGTACGAGTTCTAATACAAATTGTTAAATAACGAAGACATATGTTGCTATATAGGAAATTAAATCATAATCACATTTAGGTGTTTTTTTTTTTTGGTTTTAGTGTAACTTTTTTTATCGTAGAAAGCTCTAAATTCAAAGCTATTAATCCATATTAACTTTTTTAAAGCAATTTTAAACTGTTATTGACTTTAGTTATTTGCTAAGCAAAAAAATTATAATAAGCTGTTTTGGTATTTAAAATAATACATATATCTTAAAGTTTTGAAATACTTCTGTTATTAAATGGTTTTAAATATATACTCTTTTATGGGTGTTATGAAACCTCGCTATTTAAATTAAGAGTTTCTTTAGGTCGTAAGTAGTCCACTCTTTTCTTATTAAGCTTGAAAGGAAGAATATCGTTTTTTGCCAAGAATACATGTATACATATATAGTATGTCATATTCTTCTTCTTTATTGGCGACGTCTAGCTTACGCGGTTGTAGCCGAGTATATACCATACGATTTACTATTTTAATAGCTATTCTGCTGCGAAGGAGGAGTACATAACTCAAATTGTATGCTATACTGGGAGTTGGAGTATAAAACTCCTTTTATTAGACGTCGTTAGAAGTGTTGATAATTGTTTTTGTCGGAAAGTAGTTCTTCGCCTGCAACATAGAATCGGTTACTTTTGAAAGCAACGTTCATGTTAGAAAAAACTCAGATTAGCAAAAAAATTGGAGTGTCCGTTAAAAAGTGGTTATATGTTGGTCACATATTGATTATATCTGACAGCGGAAAACATGAGTTTTGGTTATGAAATATACATATATATTGCCTATATTTGGTAGCAGAAAACAATTTAGTTTTGGTTGTGTAATGGTTATATATAGGTTACAGCGGAGCTCAAATTTTTATTTAATTTTTATAAAATAATCGTGAATCGTTAGCAATAAAACATTTAATTTTGATTTTTTCTGATGATATGTTGTTTAGCATTTTAGGTGACGAAATACAAAAAAAAAAAAAATAAAATTTATAAAAATTTGTTAGTTGTTATTTAGTACATATTAACAGTTATGATTGTTTTCCCAAAGTGTGAAACGTACGGAAACACTCTAAAAATTAAAGCTCACATATAAGCTAACTGCAATGTTAATATAATTTTTTTGGTTAATTTATAGGTTTTGCTAAATTTACCTACAAACTTTAATACTTTATCAATTGCTTTATATATAATATTTCATAGTTTTATATTTTTTGCTTATTTTAATTCTTGTTTAAGAATTTATTGCATGCAACATATGCGTACGATTAATTTTATTAATATTTTTTTAATATATAATCTGTGTTTTAACTAATACTTTGTGGTTTGCTTTCTATGCAAAATCACGACATATCAAAACTCTGTGTTTCTTTGAAGTAAGCGTATAATTTGAATATAATTTTTTTTTCATATTTTCCAATATTTATTATATTTTCTATTTTGTTTACAAGATAGAAATTTCTCCATTATGCTTTGGTTTTTTCTTCTTCATTTTGATTATAGTTTTTTGTAATGACTTCGCGCTTCGATTAAGCACATATTTTCTGTCTTCTTATAAATATTTATGTATTTGTGGTATAAATAAATATTTTTGTACAAATTTACTATGCAAATGTACCGTTATACTTATATATGTATTTCAATGCATATGTATGCATTTAGTTACAGTTAATAGTATTATATACTTGCCAATAATTTTTGATTTTTCTTAGTAAAAATGCTGCAAATATTATTTGATTATTTTGTGTGAGCAGCTAATAATTTTTATCGCATGCCACAAAAACAAAATTTCATGTTGAAATTGTTTATGAAAGCGTATTTGTATTTTGGAAAAAAATTTTTAATAATTTCGAATTAGAAGGTGGAAATAGGAGGTGGCACTCTCAGTAGCTTTTTTCGAACAATTTCGTAATTTACTAACATTTTCTGCCGTCATTATTGCTATTAAATAATTAATTTGCTATTTAAAATTCTGCAGTGACGATAGAGAGGCAAACTCACAATATTTACTAAATAAAGAATAAATTTCACCCACATTTTAAGAATTTGCAACGCTAGCTTTTGCTTTAGATCCAATGTATGCCTTCAAGGAAGTATTCAAGTATAACTGTCGAAGGTTTCGAAAATTGAACTCCGCTGGCAAATTTAAAACTTCCATACACAATTTCAATGAATCAGCGGAAAATGTCCAAAATATAAAGGGCCATTATGATTTATGGACTTATAATTGATACTAATGGCTGATCCAAGTATAGGTACTTTTTAAATAGCCTTATTTGACAGATTACGTGTGAGTCATGTCAACCTGTCATGTTATTTTTGTTCAGTATTGTTTGGCATTTATCATGGAAAGATCTACACCTAAACAACGTTTATAAATCGTTCAACTTTTATTACGAAAATTCACGTTCTGTAAAGAATACGCTTCGCTCCAAGCTCAACAAGTCCAAGTTAACACAATCGTCCTACTGAGCGTAATATTCGCCACGCCCATCTTGAGTACCATCATTAATTGTTGGATAATATTCGACCGAATAGACCACGTCCAGCGCGCAGTGAAGAAAATATTGCAAGCATAGCTAAGAGTGTACACGAAGAGCATGGAGAGTCGATTCGGCTTGGCTCGCGAAAACTCGGACTGACGTATGGAATGACTTTGCATCGAGATCTCAAATTAAAAACTTACAAAATACAGCTGATGCAGGAACTGAAGCCGCTCGACCTTTTCAAGCTCTTGAAAAATCTCAAGAAGATTCGACGTTTTCGAGAGAAATTTGGTTCAGTTATGACGCACATTCCTGGGTCAAAGGATATGTAAACATGTATATTTCTTTAAAAATAATGACGGTGAGATCGTCAATTATCGCGTAATGAACCGGCTATTTGATGCCTGAAATTGAAGCTCATGATCTCGGTGGCAGTCGGTTTCAACAAGTCGGCGCCACTTCACACACATCATATTAATCAATGGACTTATTAAGAGAAGACATAAAATTTCACGGTTTGGGTCGGTCGGGATCCTATGGGGATATTTACAATCTAAAGTAAACATTGGGCGTATCATTCGGCAGTTAATCCAGTCGAAATGCTCGAACGGGTCATCGAAAATAGGACTCAAAGGATAGACCATATGAGACGTAATTGCGCCCAACATTTGAAATAGATAATCTTCAAAAAATAAATACCAAATAATGCTATTTCCAATGATAATGAACATTCGCCAGTAAATTTGAAGTTTCGCTTCTGTGTTTTTTCTTTAAAAAAGTAGGGAACTCTGAAATAGATAAACCTTATGAGAAAGAAGCAAGATTTATGGCTAGGTTATTGAAAGCATGCATGTGTTTTGAAATACTAAATACTTTGCATATTGAGCTCTAAAAGTGAGTTTTGACAGCGCTCTCTCGAATAAACGCGCTTCGTACTATGTCATCCAAGTTTTCAGTTTGAACAGTTAGTAAAAATAATATGTTCTATTCGCCACTCTCTCACGCCTGATGCAACATATAAAATGAAATTAAGCTATGAAATGAAAAAACATACCAAAATAAAATTTTTATATTTACTCTGCATAAGTAAATATATTTTTGCCTAATTCTTTTTTTTTTTTTAATTTTTTCGGGAATAATTCCCGCATATTGTCTAACTATAGTTAATGATATATATTTACCATATGTATATAGCTTTCATATTCATATGACATTTGTGTATTTTGCATATATTTATCTAAAACATCTATGTTTGTTTGGTTTTGTGTTTTTAAGTGTATAATCACTTGGAATAGTTTGTTTTCAGGCTCAAAGTATAGAAGTTATTTGTTCGGTTTATGTTTTAGTTTATGCTTTGACGCGTTTTCCGTTTACTTTTTTGTCGCACTGTAAGATATGTACATTCTTAAGTTGCTAAGTGCGTGTTGTTGTTGCAGCAATTTTGGCTATAAAAATCGTGTTTTCTCGGTTTTATGTTTTCAATTTGTGCTGTTTGTTGTTTTGGGTTATAGTAAATTTGTAAAATAACGGTACAAATTAAATTGTTGCTACATATTCGCACGCATCTAAGTTTCTAGCTACAAAATGTTCAATGTGTTCTATATACACATATAACGTGGATGGGTAGGTACATACATATATGTATGTATCTGTGTGATAGCTAGAAACCAGTTGTGATACTTAGCAATTGTGTTGTTGTTATTGTAGGCGATGTAGTTTGTTGTAAATTCTTAAGAAAGCAATTTAAGCGCACATTTATAGTTGCAAAAGTGTCTGTTGATATTTACTGTTTGTATTTTATAGCTGCGACATGCCATAGCAAGGCTTATACGCGTGTGTAGGAGTATGTTTGTGTGCTTGTATGGAATTGGTGGTGTCCTGTTTGCTGTAGTTCTTAGTTCGGTGGTATAATTTGTTGGTACTTGGAAGTAGTTACCTTTAGTGCTCAACTTATACTCACACATACAAATGTTTACTAACTTTTTTGTATGAATCTATGTATGTGTGTGTATCTTTGTTTTTGTAATGCCTGTCCTTTGCACAACAATTTATCGAATGCTCGAATTCTTGGCATTTTGCTTGGTAAATAACGCTGTGGCAAGCTTCGGGTGATATTTTTGCTTTAAAGGCAATAATTGTGTTCACACACATACATACATATATAAAGTTATATACGAATATATGAGTATGAGTATGTATGTAAGTAGTTTTCGTAAGTTTATGTTGCCTTGTGTGTGTGCATGTGTATTCGATTTGTTTGTCTTCCATTTATGTGTGTAAATATGTAGGTACAAGTGAAAATAGTTTAAATTCTTGTTTGGTAAATTGTTTTTGTTTGTTGATTTGTTTGTATATAAATTGTTACATTTTAAGTACTTCTGTTGGCTAGTGAACTGCTTTATAAAGCCATTTAATGTAATTTAATACTTGTTTCATTACTAATTTAACTTAAAGTCTAAGCCTTACAACTCGATTTAAACGCTGCAGTTTATGAATTTTAGTTTCACACACCTACATCTATATGGATTTGCCTTACTAATTCCATATATTACTTGGCTATTTATTTTGGCTTTATTTTCGCATAAAAATTGTATCTAAATATTCTGGTTTTCTTGTATTTGGCTACATATTTTTGCTCTTTAGTGTATGTGTGTACCTACTTAAAGGCTTCAGCTGACATTTTATATGGAATAGCTATTATAGCTTTACTTTTCGTTTATTTCATCTATAATCTTCTAATGCGCCATTCAATTGTTGATTTCATGACAAACTTCCATGTAGTCCGGATCGTGCATAATGCCCTTGATCATGTCTTTGAGCATTGTATAACGCGGGAAAATCGGATACATTTTGGAGCTGCCATAATCTTCCTGGAAATAAATAATACCCAAAATTTTTATTTAAGTTTTATATTTTAGTTTTTTAATTTATTGTAATAACGAGCTCTCCTTTTAATTTCTCTAAATAAACAAAAGTAAAATTCTGACCTCAAAAATAATTCATTGAATTCGACATCTAATTCTGAGAAATGCTTAGAGGTAATTTGTTGTTTTATTCGTCATATGCTCAGTAAACTATGAACTTTAAGTGCGAGATCATGGACACTCTCAGCAAGCAAGAAGAGACCTCTCGGATCATATCATTCACAGTATATAGCTCTATTTTCAACATAACACCGTAAGCGGTGTGTGCGCCAATAAAGAGTAAGAAGTATAGCGCTATTCTATGATCTGGCATTTGAACAAATCAAGAATAAAACCTTGGCAGGAGAAAAAACAACCAACAATTTTTTGAAAACTTTTTTGAGTAACGCAGCTCTTTTATGAATTTTTAATACTTTTGTCAACTGTGGAACGTTTTACGGACAATATCTTTTAGCAGTAAGTTTTGTAGGTGTAGGCGTTAGAGTAACTTGAAAAGTATATCACTTTTTAATCAAAATTAATCATTTTTACTGCGTGTGAAGCAAACAATAGGTGTTGATCCTGTTATGCAACGCTGTGTCAGAAGTCCCTTGACCTTTAGAATGATATGAGCAGAGAGGAGCGACGCTAAAATGATGAAGGAAGTCTGTGGAAGCACTGCCCTGGGGGGTTTCGCTTCACGAAACTGGTTTATGAGTTGCTCATTGGTCTATCAGACTAACCTTTCTTAAAATATGTAGAACTGAATGCACGGTTGCAGTCTTTTGTCTAAATATCATCTCTAAATTGATGTTTGAAGCGTCGAACAACTGCTTAAAATTTAATCTATTAAAAAATAGATTTGACAATGCTTGCGTTGCTTTCGAGCTCTTGCACATGATTTTGGCGATCCCTTCAGATATTTAATTTCATATAATTGTTAGTGACTTCCTTTGATTTCGATAGGTGAGCCAGATCTTAAGTTAAAAATTACAACGAAAAGTTACATTACTTTACATATATATAAATAAAAATAATAATCTTCGGGAGGTTAAAAAAAAAACTAATAACTAAAAATATAATGCGCGGTCACGGGGCAAGCAGTCTAGTTGGCAAGCACATGAAACATGTAGATGTAATTTTACAATGACAGTAGTACTGGCAAAAATGTACTCCGTAAAGAGGATTTTACTATCTATAAAAATTCCCGTCGTAGTATCTCATCGAGTAATAACTTTATTCGTCGTTTTTCGTAAAAATTCCCTTTAGGCATAAATGTGCTCCTACATTTGGTATTCATGAGTGTTTTGGGTCATTTATTAGACACCTTTTAAATAGTAGCTTTGCAGTTATATACATATCTATGCATATAAATACCGCCCTTGAGGCTATAGATCAAAGCAAAATGAATAAAATATGTGTTCGATGAAATGTGCTTTCCAAGATATTTCGAGCAGAACATGGTCTTTATACTAACAATGGATCCACACTCCGATAAAACAATAAATGAACCATATTTTATTCCTAAAAAAACCAATATTGCGTAGGTCTTATTGGAAGATTTTTGTATATTCACTCCAAAAAATATTGATTTAAAGTAAATTTTCTGGAACATAACAACAACGACTGAGTAATATAAATATTTAAATAATAATGATGAGCATTTATAAGTCTTGAAATATACCAAATTTTTGTTGTAATTTCACACATTTCAATAAATATTTATCGCTTCCTCTCACCTTGAGCACTCTGATTAAATGCCGCAGACCCAAGTATTTTTTCAGCAGTCGATATAAATCATTTATGAGTTGTGTGTTCTCGTGTTCGATTTGTGCGGTGGTCATAACTGTAAACAACGCGTTTTTTATTACAAACAAAAATGCACTAAAAACAAGACACTCACCTTCCAAACGTTCCATGCGTTCGCGCTTCTCCGCTGCCTCCTCGGCCAATTTGGCTGAAGTTTTCACACCTTCACCGGATTTCTGTGTCTTCTCCATAATCGCGCAAGCACGCATCACATATGAGGGCACGGTCTCTTGCTTCTCTTGCCTGGGTATGTCAATCAGCGTCCAATATTGCGTCTCTAAGCGTATAACGTCCTGAGAAAAAAAATTGTTTTTTTTTTTTTTTGTTTGAATTAAATAAATTTTTTTTTCGAATTTAAATAATTTTAATTTTTTTTTTAAATGACACATAAACTATAGTGGACACTCTATTTTTGAATTATAAATTATTCTACTCACTTTTATCATCAACTTCAGCATTGGATAACGCTGGAACACATTGCGTTGACTCTTCGAATCGCCATATTTATTCATGAGCGTTATAAGCGCTTTCTTAGCTGTCTCATATGACTCCTCCAGCCGCAGCCGTAGTGCTCTTAAACGTTCATTAGTATCGATTACCTCATCACGTGTCATGCCACCTGCAAGTATATAAATTTGAAATAAAAAAGTTTATCTGTTGGCCGTGTTTTGTTTTTTTTACTTGGCGCTCCCTCATCTTTGACATCTTGTACAATGCGACGGACACTCTGCGTAAATTTCCCCACAAAATTTGTGGTTGCTAAAAACATAAGAAAAAAATTGCGATTTTATTATGTATCTAAAGCTATTAAAATTTTATTGACCTAATAAATTATTTTTATTATAAATTAAATTTGATCTATTTCTTAATTCACTTAAGGGAATACATGGCTTTACGGGTTTCCAAAAACCGAATAAGTCAGTAATTATTAAATTCTAAAATACCTTTAGATATTGTCCTATATTTTCAAGTTGATCCAAGTCGTAGTTTCGGAGATACAGCCCAGAGAACTAGTGCGTCCGAATCTAGTTAGGCTAAGTGCGCCGCAGTTAAACACGTTTTTCTCGTAACCGTGTTTTTGAAGCAGGTTGGCAAGATTTCTTCAAGAACTGCTCCACCGAATTTCATAAAATTTTACACAGGCCTGTCAGATACAATCCGTAAAGACTTGAAAGAGGAATTGTTTTTCGATTGCAACTATTTTTCACTTAAAGTTTAATTTTTTTGTAAAAATATCTACCAAAAGTCCAATTATTTTCCTTCGTTCAAGTTTTAAGTAAAGTTTTAACGAAAACAAGTATTTCTTTCACTTTAGATGTGAGGAGTGGGCGCATCTTTTTTCTGAGGGGTCGCCGAAAATGGCATCGCAATGGCCGAGTTGAAAGAATATATTTTTTTAATTTTCAGAAACCGAGGAAACTCATGTAAGCCCTTAATCTACAATAGTTCAAGGACTGTAGAGGTAAAACCATTACCATTTATCAAAATGACAAAAACAGCTGTACTGGATGAACAATTATTGAACTGAAATTCGTAATCATAGCACCTCAAAGACTTCACCCTAAAGACCTCTTAGCATATAAGTCGCAAAAATTTTATTTACTGTATTTCAAATTTTGGTATATTGAGATTAATTAAAAATAAATGTTGGGAAATTCTCATAACACTATCACTTATGAACTAAATGTAGCAGCAGAGAGAACGACTCTAAATTTTTATCTACGATCTATATGGAAATGAACCAGCCATGGACGAACTTCAAATGAAATTCAGTTGGTACATTATGCCAATATAAATCGCGTTCTAATATAATTTTTCTTTTTCAAATTCACCGCCTATTATACGGATTCTATTTTAAAAACTTTCTTTTATCCTTTATTCTAAATTCTACTACATTTAAAAGTTATTCTGCTGGCACTCGAACCTGTGGCTCCAAAATACCTTCACGCTATTTCAAACACCTCAGCATGTTTAGTTAACAAACCGCTTCCATTAATGCTCTTATATACAGTTATGAAGGTCTCGGTGAGAAAGTAAAAGCAGCTATTTGCATCGCCTCTCTTTGCTGACAATCAAACACAGATGGCGCTCAAAACTTTTTCTTCATGTACATATTAGTGAGCGAATAAGCGCCATATGAAAAAAATACTCAGAGAGAGTCTTAATATTAACCAGAATAGCACTCTGCAACTCTTATATTTATGTTTAGCTAGAGAATGTTCATTACCAAACTCTGGCATTGACTTTTGCAGATTAATGTGTGAAACACAATGCTAGGGACAGACTGCAGCAGCACGACAATGAACTGAAAATGGCGTTGTGAATC